GACATCATCCTTTTTTATCTGTTCTGATTCGCACACACTTCTTATGTCTTTTCTGCAGCCTTGTTAAATTGAGTTGCACTTCAACCAGCGTGTTGTTTCAGTGTATAGATTAGACCTTGAAATCCTAATGGTGATTAATTAGATATAGCAGTTGCATCAGGTAGAAACGGGGGAGACAGAGAGGCCCCAAGAGGGACGTTACACATCAATCACATGTGTCTGTGTGTGTGAGAGAGAGACAGAGAGACAGAGAGATAGAGAAGGAGTGAGAGAGAGAGAGTGGGTAAGATCAGTGGGATGGTAGTCCTGTGCAAAGAGCAAGGTCACAATTGAATTGTGTTTCACTCAGCCTGAAACCTGAGCAGCCAAAGTATCCTACCACAAGACAGAGAGTCCCTTTTGTCCCACCTTTGTGTTTTATCTTACAAGCTTGGTAAAATACTCTCGTAAAATCCATTGATAGTTTATTTCAAGGTGTAAACATGAAGACATGTAAAAACATACAGACAGCTGTTTGGCAGGTATCCGTAGCATCTGGAGACGTGCAACAAGTCAAAAGCTACTGGTTGGATTTCAGATTCCAGACTGTTTTTTATTATGAGACGTTTTTTACCTTACACTATTTCCCCCCTGTCCGTTTGTTTGTTGGTTTGTTTGTAATAAACACTACGCCACAACAACTGAATGGATTTCCACAAAACCTATTTGAAGGATGTGGTATTAGTCAGGGAAGAACCAATCACATTTTGGTGCAGTTGGCAGAGCCAGGAATTTTTTTATCACTTTAACATTCCTTGATTTTCAGGATGAAATTAATGGATCTCGATGAAAAAAAAGGAGTTGGTGCAGCTTAATTAAATCTAAGGAGACTACTGGGCCTTGGTGAAGGTATGTGATCTACTGAGTGCCATTCTACTTTTAAATATGCATTTATGCCTTTATCTCTCTATAGCCGCTTATATGGTTGTAATTCCAATAGTGTGGGTCAGGTCACTTGTCCAAGGACACATTGACCCTCTTAGGTCTGGTCCTCTTATCTGTCCAATCAGCTGAATGACTGTCAAGCTTCTCGTTGAGAAAACGTCAGGTGGTGCACTTCAGCTTGTGTGCTCACTCTAATGATTATTCTAGGCCCGGCATTTACAGAGGCTGTGACCAGGAGAACTGAAAATGTTTGATTAGATGCTCAGAAATTACATATATTTCAATAATTTTTCTATTTTTGTATTCATATTTCCCCCTCATTAAAGTCAATATTTATAATATATTTTGACTTGATATTTTGACTTGATATTGTAAGAAAAGCACGTGTAACTGAAAAAACGACTGGGTGACAATCATCCAAATCTAATTAACACGTAATTCATTTCTATCTATTATCATTCTCCTTTACAAATATTTTGTGTCAACATGTCTGCTGTGAAAAGCAAAAATTACTTAGACATATGACATTGGCAATACCTCTATCATCAAAACTGTCCCTGCTGCTCCCTTCATCTCTGTCAGACATTTTCGTTTGTATAAATACTTTGCGTAAACATTGATGCACCTCTCTGTTTATGTGAGACACTGTCTTTTCTCTTGAATGTTGCCATTTTGTTGATGTGCTCTTCTTCAGGCAGCATCTATTGCCCAGCTGTCCATCCTGGGAGAGGGGTGTGACCCTCTCTGAGGTTTCTATGGTTTTTACTGCACCTTGTTAAGCCCAATGAGGCAAATTGTGATTTGTGAATATGGGCCATAAATTGATTGATTGATTTTGCAGTGATGTTCTGTAGGGGTCAGATGGGTGAGCTATGGTTTCAGGGTCCTGGTATGGAGCATGCTGGCCCAAAGAAAAAAAAAGTAAACAGCTGTGAAAAAATACTACCTCGACAACAACCTATTTTGCAATGTGGGCTAACAACAGAGCCTGTCACTAATCGCACCTGTAATTTGTTGTGCTCTGACAAATGACATGTCTGCTGAAAGAATTTGTGCACGTACTCTATGTTTATAATTGAAGTTTTAGTATTTGGAGCATACACATAATATGGGACACAGCTGAATACAAAAGCTGCAATGCAAACTGCAGACAGAAACCTCACATGTCTTAAGATAGACGGGCACCACAGGACACGATCGTTATAATCCTGTTTCTGTGCAGACTCTTTCTCTTGTCTCAGCTTGATGTCCTGGGTCTGACCTACTAAACTTTATTCACTACATTCTCATGCTTCCATTATACACTGTTCTTTGTGTATACCCCCCCCCCCCCACACACACACACACACACTCACCTAGCGATTGCTGCTCTTAACCAAGAACCTTGAGCAATATAGTGTTTATTTATAAGCAATATATATATTTATTTATAAATGATATGTCATTATATGTCATTTATTTATCTATTTATTCATCATGTGTAATTTTCATCAACATCCTAATGCATGCTTTTACTATATGTATCTATTTATTCTTTAGATATTAATTTGACTTCAGAAAGCTTTGACACTCGTGCAGATCTTTTCTGAGGTGTTTCAGAGAGGTATTGACCTTCCTCCCTCCTCCTCCCTCCTCCTCCTCCTCCCCCCTCCTCCCCTCTCGTCCCACTACTGCATTGATGCTGTTACCTCCCTCGCTGGTGATGTCACCGGCTCGGTGGAGCTGGAGAGCATCCTTCACAGAGGCAGGGAGGGAGACAACAGAGCCATTTTGACCGCTCCGGAGCGAGCGGAGAGAACTCACCGGAGCCCGACCACCTTCCTTCCTCGGCGGCAGGGCAGGACAGAGCAGGGCGGGCTGGGGCTGTAGGCGCAGGACGAACCTCAACACCTCATGGAGAGGAGCGGCTGTTAGCGGCGGCAGCAGCGGCGGAGAACCTGGAGGAGACCGGGGGAGGTGGAGGCAGCTGCGGGGCTGGACACTGAAAACAGACGGCGGCACCACAGACACAGACTCGCTGCGGTTCACGGTAGCGGAGGTAGGCGGTTTGTTTTTCCAGCGTCCCCCCCCCCGGCAATGCAGCTTTAATGCCACTGTCTGTATTTACCCAGTGAGAGAGCTCCCGGAGGACAGAGGCACTGGGTGCGGCCATTGAAGAGTCATTGTTGGAGGAACACTGACATTAAAGCTGCACTGTCACACACCCTGCTCACTGACATGTGATGGATTGATTCTCTTAAAGCTCTTATGAGTGTGTGAGCAGAATGGATTCCTCCTACAACACTGGGCGCGAGCTGGAAGCTTTAACGAAGAAATGACGTATCACAGGCTATAAAAGCATGACGTAATAAGTAAATGTAAAGAAATGACAGCTGTGAATCATCACATGTAGCCTGAGACACAAACAGGCCTCAAGCTAGTGTTTGTCATTGTCATGGTAAGAGACCCAGCGGTTGTATATACACACATGCATTACATGTGTATGTGTGACTATATATTTTTATGGGCAGTATGATAACATGATATCAACCTGTCCTCCGGTGCACAGCAGCATGCTTTATTACATTACAGCCTGGCTTTGTCACTGGGAAGATGGTGGCCGCCCATCCGAGCTGCATCATCAGCTGATTGGTCTGTGCGTGTGCAGATCACGACCATGGATGTTGACGACAAATACATAGTCGATGAAATCACATTCGATCAGAAGGGAAGAATTGTTCGCATGTGGGTGGAGATGCAACATAAGACAAGACAGGCTGGGGAGGTTCACCGTCGTCACCTGTCAAAACAGACCGTATACTGGATTTTTCCATTTTCCAGTTCTTATGTTCATATTTTTATGATTCGGTCTGTTGTTTTTTTTTTGGATCATACTATGGTTTATAGTATAGCTGCTCTTTTTCCATTGGATCAGTGTTAACCTGCACACGTCTCACAGATGAGTGCATTTAGGTGCCAGCTGCGGAGGTTAAACCAGGAAGCAGGGTGACACAGCATATTATGATGATGATGATGATGATGATGGACATCTGAGTCACAAGCCGCCGGATCATTGATACTGATATTAAAGTCATCTGCAGCATAAATTAAGTTCCAAAAAAGACATCCACTTTTGTTCATAAGCTGTAATGATGATAGTTTGATTCTGTAAAAATTGCAGTGAGACCTGAGGCGTGCAGTGAAAACTAATTGTATCATATTTCTCACTGTTAAAGTGAGTTATTGATTAAAACATTAAATCATTGTAATTGGATCGCCACAGATGATGAGTCATGGTAGCTCCAGCACACGCTAAAATCACACAGTGATTTAATGTTCGCATGCAGTCTTTTAGGAGACAGGGACGACTTGCGGTTTGTTAGTGAATGTGAGCGGCCCTGGATTTGTGGCTTGTTTCATTGCCATTGTCATCCCGGGAAATAACCTGACATTTAGCTGTTGCTGCACTTCTTTTGTCGCCGCTAGCTTTATCATCTCTATCCCTTGGCTGTAGCTGACCATGCATGGTCTTTTCACGTTAAGGCCGCGCAGGGCTGCCGTCCTCCATTGTGCTGATCACGGCAACTGAAAGGTGTTACGTTCAGCCCCTTACATTTTTATAGCAAACATGTTTAAAAGATTCAAATCATAACAACATAACATTACATAACTGCAGATAAAACTGTAGGAATTGCATTAATCAGGATTCACTCTCTGCTCCCCTCTACAGACCTGCAGGCCGACATCAGGGCTCTAAAGAAGGCACCCCGGGTGCTAGGAAGACAGCACCATGGCAGCGGCCTCTGTGAAGGTGGCGGTGCGTGTCCGCCCTTTCAATTCAAGGGAGATCGGAAAGGACAGCAAATGCATCATTCAGATGTCTGGAAACACCACCAGTAAGTTCTCTAATCACAAGTTCTTAGCTGAAATATGTGACCCCTGTCCTCCGTTTGAAAGTATCCACATGTCTGTTTTACTGTCTGGCATGACAAACGTGTAGAAACTGTTTGGCACGTAGTCAGATGTAAGCCTGAGCAGTGTGATTCTTCTCCAACCAGAAGGCACAGGCTCAATCTTTTCCAGCGAGAAGGATTATTGAAAAGAAACATTTCCTCTGCGTAGGACCTGGGGTGACTGTGCAAATCTCTGGTAAACCAGGAAGGCCTACTACAAGACACGTGATATGAGCTGAACATTCACTGAGAGTTTTTTAATTTCAGTGGAAGGCTTTTGGGATCAGAGCTAATTGTATTGTGCTAGAGAACTTCTCTGCAAGACTGACTACTGTCTATATACTGCAGGGTCCATGTTTTCAGTCACTAAATAGAGTAATAGAGAAGGAATCAAATTGAAATCACCTGCATTTGAAATCTCTTAAACATCACACTGTAGGCGACATAATCTCCCTGCAAATTTGACCTGATATTTATGTAGGGCAAGCCCTGTTTTTTATTCATGCAGCAGATTAAGTCAGATTTAAAAATGGCTCCCTCTTCAACATTTTATAATTAAACTTTCTATTAAAATCTGCTACAAATGCAAAATATACAATAAGTACAACAATGGCAGAGAAGACTTGGTATGAACTTGATTATTGTGCCTTTATAAAATCCTCATTAGTGCATGACAATGCTAGTTTTCTGCAGATTCTACAGTATTGTTTTTTGAGTTTTCTCGCAGTTCAGAGCAGGCCACATTTCTGAGGTTTATAGAGTGCGCAGAGTGAGGAATGGTTGAGAGGAGACTGGAAAGACACTTGATAGTCTGCTTTGCAAGGTAAAGCCATTCATCAATAATGGATGAGGCTTCCTGAAATATTTACTGTTTGGCCTAATTTAGCCATCTCACCCCTCCTTCCTCATGTCACGGGTGACTAGACAACAAGCTGGGTGGCTTTCTTTGGGCCGTCACATTTTAACTTTGTGATTTGTTGTATTTTGTGATTGTGTTCCCCATCAAACAAAATAATCCAAACACTATATGTTCTTAAAAAACTTAAATAGTTTGGTCTCTTAAAGAGTTTTTTTCCTTAACACAGAATGCTCGACTGTTTTCAGCAGTGATGTATAAGCTTTGATCAGACGCTCTGTTTTTCTCTGTGTGGATTTCTTTGGAGACACGCTTTCTGAATTAATCTGTGAATTTTATTTTCAGTGACACATACAAACTTACATATGACTTCAGAAATACTCCACTGCTATTTGGACATAATAATCATGGTGTTTTTGCTTATGCTTTACTTAAATAGAATTTATTTTTAGACGTCCTTAGAGATTCCAACTTGGAGGACAGCTTTTCCTTAGGGTCATTAAGCAGAATACAATATCAGATGTGTATGACATTGACCACAGATTACACTTTCATGAATATATTAGGCACCAAAGAATGACTTTTTGATTTAATATAATTGAATGTAAATTACCCAAAACATTGCTACAATTCTCTTTAGACCAGTATTCATTTAATCTGGCTCTTGGGCCTGATTCCTCACAATCTTAATTTTCTACTTGCTACTAAACTGCAGTAAATGCTTCAGAGAAGAGAAAATTCCTAAAAGAAAGTGATCACCTCCCAGACTACAGCAGGCTTGTATGATCAGATAATTGTCTGGACCATGTCACGATTCTTTTCGTCAGTGTCCAGAAATGAAATAGAGTTTATTTTATACCAGCAGCACTAGAACCTGCTGCTCAGATGAACTGAGCCTCTTTCAGTGGAATGCAGGTCTTTCAGCAGAGAAAACAACCAAGTCAATGGCTGTGGATGTGAGCTGGAGGATGTGAGTAGACTAATGTCATGAAAAAGCCCATTGGTTGCAGTGTCTGGAGGGGGCACTGCGAGGCAGGGTATAAATGCCCCTTTGTCTTTCTGTAGTCTGGGCTGAGGAAAGGACGAAGAAGAAAGAGTTCTTGGTTTTTTTGTGTTTGTCTCACTCTCTGCTTTGTGCAGTCTGACACTCATGTGTGGGTCAATAGCCCAGTTCCCACAAAGCAGGAGAATGTCAGTAATCTTGCTGTGTGAGAGATCTTCCATCCCACACTGACCTTAATTAAGATGCACAGGACTGAGCTGAAGGAGTTGTGGGCCTCCCTCTAGAGGGCTAGTGGGTGCAAACACTTAGCAGAAGTTTTTACTTTGATGAAAAAATGGGGTATATTTAGAAAATGATATCTATATATTGCGCAATTTGATGCAGCTTGATTTAATTTAAGGGGACTGTTGGGCCTCGTTGGAGGTATGCGCTCTCCTGAATTCCATAATGAATGTGTGTATATGCAGCCTTTATTTAGGAGGATTGACTGGATTCATGCAACTTCTTTTAATTTCAAAACATTTACTGCTCTATCATGTTGATTTTGGGAAGACATAGACATCTGCAGTTTGTGTCTTCCAGACTTGGGTTTGATAAACTTAGATCCAAACTGACCTATAACAGCAGAAAACATACCAGGGTAAACTAGTGCTGCCTCTGCTGCTGAATATAGCATCTATAGTGTGAATGTGGCTCTCCTGCAGCCTCAGTGGGTTCACATCCCCCTTGTCCGACTTGCTGACGCAGCCACATTTCCTCTCCTATTGACTGGGGCTGGTCACCCGTAACAGTCTGACCAGCATCACTCAGTCACAATTATGAAGACCGAGCAGCAATGACAAACATGGACTGTGCCATAATAGATGCTGAAAATATGATGGAGTTTATGGCTAAAATCAAAGCAGAGCAGTTAATCACCACAACCATTAGGATAAATGATGTGAGATCCAGGCATCATGAAAGTGATAAAGGAAAAATCTGGGCCACCGCAGGACATATGAAACATATTTTTATTTAGAGATACATCAAAGTAAATCTTTTAAATTCTAATATATTAATTATTGAATATTATATGATTGAGTTTGATATAAGTGTAATGTCAAACACAAGTTAACATAAGCTTTTCATGAAGGATGCTTTTCAAAAATACCCATTTACAGTAGATCTTTCAAATAATCCTGAATTATCCTTTTGAAATTAGTCCTGTAATTGTTACTAATAACTATTCGAATTGACTTGTCTTTTTTCTAATAAAACTAGAGTAATTCATATCTGGAATTTGAAAAGTGAAATTACAGAAAGATCAATTAAATTATGAAAATAAAAGTAATAAATGTCAGGACCTACTGCTGTTCCATTAACCGAAAATACTTTAATAACACTAGAATAGGTAACACGGAAAAGTAACAGAAATTAATAAGTAGTTTTTTAATCTATTAGTCCATCAAACTGAAAAATAATCGGTAACCATCAAGTAATCTTGAACAAAATTCCAAACATATTCACTGATTCAAGCTCCTTAAATGTGAATAGTGCCTGATTTTTTCAATATCACAAGTCTAAGATCTGCCTCAAGGGGCTCAACAATCTGTAGAGCGAACCTCACCCTCTGTCCTTGAACCCATTAGTTGTACTTCCTAAAGAAAAAAACATATTGTCTTCGATAGAAAAATCGTATTTTGAGGTTTTTGAACCATGAGCTTGAATTTTTACATTTAAAATCAGGTCAGTCACAAACCTTTGGAGAGAATGTAATCACTCTTCATCGATCTGTTTCTTCAATATGTCTGATAAGTCAGGGCTTTACACTTAAATTCACCAGCAGAAACAAGTAAATGCCAAATCATGCTGACATGAGTGTGAATATATTACCACCTCTGGGGATGTGGTATCGGAGAACAGAGGTGCTGTCGTATCTTGTCTAATTATATTTAGCTTCCGTGACGTGGCATCCAGACTTGACGTCATCTATAAACTCTACACCTAGCTATTGACAAGTGTTTCCATCATAAAAATAGAAGACAGACTTTAAAGAGGAGTATGATGAAGATGCTCTTTGTGCTTAAAGTGCAGCTGAAACTGATCTTAGGTGAAAATGACTCTGACACACAAACTGTTACCCACTGAGCACATGCAATTTAAAAAGCCAGCACTTCCATGGTAACCCTCTGACAGTCTCTGCCACCCTAAAGTAATTACCTTATCTGAGAGCAAGGCACTTTTCTTTCTGGACCAGGGGTGGGGGCTCTTCTTGTATGAATCATAGCTCTGTTAAAGATGAGTAAGCGATGAGAGGATGCTGTTCTGTTTTACTGTCCCACTGAGGTTCTTCTTTCAGGGTTTATGTTTGATAGAGTACAACACATAAAGAATACGTGTAAAGTTGGTTTATTTTATGGTTTTATTCTGTATAATGGATACAATTCTGATTTCATTGAACTCGGTCTGCGTTCTTCACCACATGGTAGCTAAAACCATGACGGACATATTTAAAGATCTACTGAAGTACTCTTACATGCCCAATGGGATAGGAGCAAGTCATGTTGTTTCTTCCTGCTGGGTAAATTGCAGTGTCACACTACAAGTACTTTTTCAGTGCTTCATCTGCTTCACCAAGCACAGAAACAGTCTACTGTTTGGAAATGGATCAGGTACAACAGGTGCCGAGTGTCTGTTATGTTAAGTTTAATTCAACCAGATTGTTACTGTAAAGTATTGGTTCGGTTTAATGGCTTCCAGAATGTGTCAGCACTGAGCAGTCACACAAAAACACCAGAGTTCACAGGAAACCATCACAAGGGTTAACGCCATCAGTGATGCACAAATGTGACGAGTGAAGGGGCTAAAAACCATTTCGTGATTGCTGATAGATTATAAATCAATATTTAGGTCTAACCAGAATTCCTAATTATGTGTGATGTCATGATGACACATTGATGTAGAAGACCATTTGTGGCTGAAGACAGCAGGGGAAGTGAACGGTGTGGAAAACATCTTTAGCTGATTAGTGAAATTGATTTTGTAGCTGCGGTGGTTAGCAGCAAGCCTCATGTATTTAAGTGCTGGATACATGACATAGACACAGATCAGAGAGAGTGCTGTGTGTCAGCTGTGGAGCAGCTATACGTTTATATTCCTGGACCTGTCCAGTGAACCGGGCCTGGAGGAATGGGTGAGGAATGGGCCCGAAACCGGAAACCTGACTTAACCTCGATGGCCTACATTTCATAGCTGGAAACAGAGTAGCAGTGCAGAGAGGAAATAAGCGTTTGTACACTTACTCGGGCATGTACTTAGCCCTGGGTCTTTTCCTCTATTATCGATCAAATTTGCATTAGCAGAGAAAGTAGTGTCTGGAGCTCTGGGAGCCTGGAAGAAGCATTTTCATAGCTTGCATCATCAGATCACTCCAGATATATGGTTCTTGGGTGTGTTCACCAAGTGCTTTAGTATTCATATAACAACCCTTTGATTTCAGTACTTGAGTATAATAGAGGAAACAGAAAAAAAAAGAGTAGTTTGCATTTATATATCTGATAACTCATCTTTAACTATTGTTTGAACTATATTTCTCCAAGTATTTTCCCTTTAAGTTGCTCTAATACTTTTCTACTGTTTCAAGGATGTAATATTGTTATGTGTGGCTCAAATGTCTATTGTTTATTCCAGAAGTTAAACATCTGGAGCAGAAAAAAGTTCTAAATGTTACGTGTTAAAAACAGCAGTAATCATAACTTACATTTCTGGATGCTAACACTGTATTAATACAGCTTTATTAGCATCAGCTACTCTTAAGTAAGGAGTCTGAAAGCTCTTGAATACAATGACAGTAAAACAGCTAGATGAAGATGTATTAAGTGAGTTAGGTCTGATATCTATAGGCATCATTATGTTAGGATTTGGACTAATACAGTTGCATTGAAAATGTAATTGAATTTATTTACAAAGAATGGTTTGAGTCATCACTGTTCTTTCTGGGCATCTAAATCTACCAGACCACACCCTATCACAGTTCAGGCTATGATTCTGTGTGACTGAAAGTTTTACTATATGACTCTAGACTTTAATTCATCTGTGATGGGAAAAGGTTTTTTTAGAGTGAGTAGATTGGTCTCATTTTGACACTGTTGATTAACAGTACAGGTGATGAACACAGGAACACCATAGTTATTGAAACATTTTTTTAAATGAATCTTAAAAGAGTCACACAGGTTGGGATTTTCCGAGAGCTAACAGAGAATAACTGAGCCTGACTACTTGCGGCTGAAGGCTGGTGGATGTTTCGTGCTTCGACTGTTGAAAGATGAGCCTGATAAGTCGGAGCTGTCCTAAAATGGCCACTGTGCCCTGGTTGGAAACAACATGGCTTTTTTTCCCCGTGGCACCACCATTAGGCCAAGGATGGATTTTAGTTTTCTGTGAGTGCTACAGTCTCTCATAGCCATCTGCATCTCAGCTGTATACATGCATTTACAAGTTTAGATGTTTAGAGTTAGATTCAAAATTTAATTTCAAAAGTTGAAAGCAAATTATGTTGTCATGTTATCTCTATTTAGAAAAATGTCGCTGATTGTATTTCCCTGTGAGTTGGAGATGGCTTGTTAAATAGAATGTCTTTAATATGCAAGCAGATTCAGAATTCTTGATTTTTTATTTTCAATCCAGCATAAAATAAATGTATCCCATTTTACTGCACACAGTGAGACCTGAAAATGTTTTCTTGGCTTTTTTCCATTAGGAAGATAATATAAAATGGATTCAAGATCATTTTTCCTACAAAGGGGGAAACTTGCCATGTTACTAGTGAAATAAGAATCATCAGCAAAACCGTTATACATAAGTAAACATGCAATATAAACCCATAATGAAAGACAAATAATAGCCCTAATATTCTTCTCCAAAACCGTCTGCAGTCCTTGATGCTAAAGACGAGTATTTTTACAGAAGGAAGAGGCGACAAAGGCCTTTCAGCTCTTTTAGCACAACATGAGACCGATCCAGCTCAGCTACAGTTTCACGTGTGGGGCTTTCACCCTCCGACTGACCCCATGTTACTTGTCCTGTCTTTCAGCCATTGTCAACCCCAAGCAGGCCAAAGACAACAAGAGCTTCAACTTTGATTACTCCTACTGGTCCCACACAACGGTGACTATTCCTGCACCCCCACCCGCACCTCCACAAAAACAAACATACACATTTGGTTAACTGTGGATCACTTTGTGTCGGGTTTACAATGGAATTCCAAGATTTACAATGCTGATTATCGATCTCTGTCCACAGCCCGAGGACGTCAATTATGCCTCTCAGGTGCAAGTGTACAAAGACATTGGGGAGGAAATGTTGCTGCACGCCTTCGAGGGTTACAACGTCTGCATCTTTGCATACGGTCAGACGGGTGCTGGCAAGTCCTACACCATGATGGGGAAACAGGATGTCAAGGATCAACAAGGAATAATTCCTCTGGTAGAGATTTGTAATCACATGAACAGCACTGATAATGAGTCAAATGAAGGATACTTCTGAATTTTCCTCAGATGATACAGTCATGGAAATAATGTTATGTTCTCTCTTTCAGCTGTGTGAAGATCTTTTCAATAAGATCAATTACAATACAGACAACAGCATGTCTTACTCTGTGGAGGTAAGCACAGCTGTCAACACTTTCCCCCTTTATTTATAGTAAATCTGAAGTCTTCACATGTCGTGCTTCCAGGCTTACATTATGTATCTGAACAGGTGAGCTACATGGAAATCTACTGTGAGCGTGTGCGAGACCTGCTGAACCCAAAAAACAAAGGGCACCTGCGTGTAAGAGAGCATCCTCTGATGGGACCCTACGTTGAGGACCTGTCCAAGCTGGCTGTCACCTCCTACAACGACATCCAGGACCTGATGGACTCCGGCAACAAAGCCAGGTGATGGAACTCACTCTGTTTTTATCAGCAAACAACCCATATTTCGTTAATGCCTGTCAAGCTAAATCCTTTACCCGAACCTAAGGTCTGTACGAGCCTGAAAATCTTTGGTGGCAGCCCCCACCCTCTGGAACTCTCTCCTGGATGACTTATTCACCAAGTCTTTTTGATCACTTGTGTTACTATCCCAGCTAACATTTCTACGATGGGTTAAAAGAAATGGTTAGAATTAGATGTAGCAAATTCATCAAATACATTTCTGATTTAGGGAAAGAGGTAATCGGTGTGAAAAAAACCTGACTGAATCAATGTATTTTCTGTACTTATAATAAAGACCTGTCATTTTGTCCTCCTTGTTGGGAGCACTAACTGATAAAAATGTGTTCCCTGTACAGGACTGTGGCAGCCACCAACATGAACGAGACAAGCAGCCGCTCTCACGCCGTCTTCAACATCATCTTCACTCAGAAACGCCTCGATGCTGGGACGGACAACACCTCTGAGAAGGTAGAGGACATTAAGCACATCCTAAGTGAACCTGCTTAACATCGATCTATTACCAACGCTTAACTACAAGCTGATTGATTGCAATGAATTAAATCTTGTCACAAATTGGAAATCAATGATCGCTTGAAGGTCATCATGATAAGGAAACATTGTAAAGCTCTTTTTTTAACGGGAACTGCCTCTGCAATGAAGATGAACAGCTTTTGCTTTTTTCATTGTCGGTTATTGTGTTGCATTTTATAAATTTGGACTTGGGGATTTCTGTTGTAGGTCAGCAAAATAAGTTTGGTGGATTTGGCTGGCAGTGAGAGAGCAGATTCTACTGGAGCCAAAGGGACGAGGCTGAAGGTGAAAACACTTTCTCATTTACTCTCCTATATGTAAAACGATAATTAAATCCATAGAGGTAGTTCTGTAAATCTAGAATGTAAATACCATTCTCTGCTTCTTTTGCTCAATCACAGGAAGGAGCAAATATCAACAAATCTCTCACTACACTGGGGAAAGTCATCTCTGCTTTGGCAGAAGTGGTACGTATGCCATCTACGTATTATACATTGTAAGATAAAGCAGATATTATATAGAATAAATAACAACGTTATTTCTATTACTACTTTATTTTAGGACTCTGGGCCAAATAAGGTAAAATTATGTTGAATGCATTTTTTTTTTCTGTAAACCAATAAATAGATTTTGATTTTAATGTGTTAATTCACAAATAAATTTAGATTTTATTGTGTTTTGATTTAATTCACAGAATAAAAAGAAGAAAAAAGTGGAAAGCTTCATCCCCTACAGAGATTCAGTTTTGACTTGGCTGCTGAGAGAAAACTTAGGTAAGAACACACACGTAGAGACACCGAGAGGACCGCCTCCTTCGTGGGTCACATAGACCTCGAAGGCGGAATCAAAATGAATCGCTCTGGTCTATAGAGGTTTTTCGTGATTGGTGTCACCAGCTCGTCCCGCCATTATTGCTGTTGCCTAGCAACAGAGCTGAAGTTGGACACGATGAGAAAGTTAAAATACCCCTTGGTTTTTTAACATGTGTACCGTTAGCTTTTTCAGTTGAGTTGAAGCCTGATACTCAGTGGACTTGTTGGCACCATTACCGCTTTGAAAAACAGTTTGTCTGAATCGCAGTGAATCCTGGGATATGTTGGGCTAGGAAGTATCCACCCCTTGGAGTCATCATGTCTCGGAGAAGGAAGGACGCATTTGTTGGCCACATTTAATGAAACCTTCAGCTAATATTTTGATGATTCATGAGCTCTTCAGGAACTTAACCCAAGATGTTCAAATCTATCTCTTTTCTGTGTTGTCAGGGGGTAATTCTCGTACTGCTATGGTCGCTGCTCTGAGTCCGGCTGACATCAACTACGACGAGACACTCAGCACACTCAGGTAGGACACAGACACCAAACATCTTCTCTGCTGCATCTGCTCCCTCCCACACAGCTGATGAATGTGGCTTTGAAGGGCAAAGTGTTATATAATACACGTTTTCTACAGCAGCTGGCTTTTTTTACCACGTCAAACACCTTTCACCAGACGCAGCTGCAGTGTGAATGTGCACTATGTTGCTCAGTGATGCCTCCCTCATACACACAGGTACGCAGACCGCGCCAAACAGATTCGCTGCAACGCCGTCATCAATGAGGATCCCAACAACAGATTGGTGCGCGAGCTGAAGGAGGAGGTGTCTCGTCTGAAAGATCTCCTCTATGCCCAGGGCCTGGGTGACATCATTGAAAGTAAGGAATCATTTATTGGAGTTATCATGTGATCACCGTTGTTTTAAGATCAATTTCAAACTGATTGCAGTGGTTCCAAATCTCTTTTCTAAGTGGGCACATTCTTCTCAATGATAAAACATCAGCCTCAACTCAACCTAATCACTTCCCTTCACAACCTGCACATTTATTATCCCTGTGCTCACAAACAATGTGCAGGTGTTCAGGTGTGTTCAGATAGAACATGAAACCAAATAAATCAGTGGGAGACGAGCAGATACAATTTCTCAGGATTGGCAATGTCGTAGCAAAAAACAGACTAGAAACTGTTGGCTCAGTTCCTGGTGCCTATAAGACAAGCTAACAGACTTTAGTGTTTAAAAGGCTGAAAATGAAACATACACATCTTCAGGCTCTACTTCTGCGCTTCAATCATTCAGCCATGTATTAGCTCCACCTGCTCTGCCATATGCTTTAGATGGAGTTAAACTGAAATAACAATAGTTCAAATAGATGGAACATCCCACTCGCTTTTATTCTGTGACACAATGGCACTTAGAAGAAGACATTCTCTTTCATGTTGTATTGGAACACAGCTTTAAAGTTTACACAAAAATATGTTTTCCTCCTAACCTTCCAGTGAGAAGAGATCACGAAATGAAAATGTGTTATACGCACTGAGAGCAGTGAAGCCAAATTGATATTTATTTATACTGACTGCACAGCTCTGGTCTTCATCAAATAATGAGAGAATGTTTAAATAAATGATCATTTTCATCTAAAGCTGTTACGCTTCTCTCTCTCTCTCTCTCTCTCTCTGTCTCTCTCTCTGTTCTCTTCTCCCAGCATATCGAAGTTCTGGTCCTGAGATAGAGGGTTTGAAATGTATGTTTTCTGGCTCTAGCTCTGGCTCTTGCTTTTGCTCAAGCGGCAGCTTAGCATCATCAGCGCTTACTGTGACAGAATAATAATAGTTTTTCTGTGTTCTCTGCAGTTCCACAATAATTGGAAGGAATAGAGCAGAATGTTTTAGGCCATTCGCAATAAAAAACAAGCTATAAAACAGTGTATATCACGGCATACAGGTCTAAGGTTGATATACAGACTTTAGAACTTTGCTCGTATCTAAAGGTCCTCATATGTCTTGCCACTGTGCTTTAGAGATTTGTGCATGGCCTCGAAGCAGTGATGGGACAGAGCTTAACTCTTTATAAAGCAATAAAATAGAACATGACTACGTGGAAGGTTGTGTACTGTATAACGAGAGATGTTTCATCCCCTGATGTAGAGACTGCAGCCTCCTGTTCCCCTGGCAGGCTCTGTCTGGCTCTGTCGCCTCCTGTTGGCAGCCATAAAGGGGCTGCGAGTGTGCAGTAAACAGGATGATAATGCAGTCTTCAGTGACACACAGAGCATCATCACTTGCATAATGTTGGATCTTTGAGGTCGTCATTTCATGCTAAGCCATAATATTTTACTGTCTTCCCATAGCACGTGGCTTCATTAACTGCACTGTGAAGGCGATATTGTGTGATCCATCTTGGCGGGCAGCAGTCTGTCCAGATGGATGGGTGTGATACAGTTTCCCAATTTATTGCTCCGCGTTGCCATAGCAGCAGCTGAAGGGTTGATATTCTTTATTTCGTAGAATCTATCGCAGGCCTTCGAAGTGCCGCAACAAGGCTACGATAAGACAGTGAACATAATAAATCAAAATAAAACAGGGAACATTATGTAACGTATACTAACGATGATTAGAAAACAAACTCATCACTGTGTACGGTTCACTGGCAGAGAAATGGATTTGTGCCTTCAGTAATTTGTCTGATGTTGCTGATTTTAGAGAAGCACACTGAGCATTAAATGCATCTCGCTGCTTTGAGATAATAATCTTAATTGGGAGTTCTGGCTTCCCAATGTTCTCTGCGGGAAACACAACCCTATTACAAATGAGTCATTATGTCCCTGCACACGGGCTTGCATACTTTATTCTCCATTCATGATGACTAATTTTATTTGTGCTTTTCAAGATGCTTGATTGAGAATGAGCAAGTGAATCTTGGTGTGATATTAGATTTTTTAAAATCTCAAATGGCAGATGAACAGTATTTACGTACATATATGACCTTTTTGCATTTTCTTGTTTTTGAATGATCCTGCATTTGATGCTCTGCTTGATGTTTTCGTATAATAGCTGTATTTTCTTTGGTCATGGCTGGATGGCCTCCTTGTTGCATCTTTTAAGTTGGTCGTCTTTGCGTGTGGCTTTTCACTGGCGCTGCCCTTGCTTGTACGCTAGCAGTTACAATTTCTCTCTGTGAATTAGATTTGTTTTAAGCCACATATCTTCTTTCCTTTTTGTCTTTTCTTCTGCTCTCCCTTCTTTTCTCTTCCTTACCTGTCTGCCTCTCTCCATCTCTTTATCCCCTAATATCGATTATCCCAACCCCACTTCCTGTACACTCCCTGCGCCCCCGCCGACAGGCCTATCCGATTACAAGAACAATAACAATAAAGCCCCTGCTGTGAATCAAAGGGATGATCTCTCCACAGTGACCAATGCCATGACGGGGATGAGTCCCTCTCCGTCTCTCTCAGCCTTGTCCAGCCGTGCTGGATCCATTGCCAGTCTGCACGACCGCATCATGTTCAGTCCAGGCAGCGAGGAAGCCATTGAGAGGCTGAAGGTGAAAACTAGATAACACGCTCAAACACACTCTGCTCTGAAACAGTGTGGTTGCTGTGCATTTACATATTGGGTGATTTATTTGTTGCATATTGTCTATCTCCAGTGTCATTCACTAAGCATTTGTAACTGCAACTGTCTCAGTAGGGAAAGGATGAATCAATTATGTTTCAGTATATTATTAAGACTTGTGGTATGAGATCATACAAGTATTAAGCAAGCATTTTTGATTTTCGTCTTCAATTTAACAAGGAAGCAATAAAAGGAATAAAATATTGTCAACAAATTCCAGGAAAACACCAAAACCAACTACTTCCTCCCTGAGTACTTTCTGACTTCCTCAGCCTTCACCAGTCATTTCTATTGAGGGTGTAAATCTGAAGTGAAAGGTCACAATTATTATTAAGTAAAGTAGTAAAAAAATGTGTGATGAGGGATGAGAAGCGCTCAGAAGACAGAAATGATGCCAGCATGATTTGGATACAGGCATTTCATTTCATAGTCAGCACCATAAACCCCAAACTCAGAAGGTCCCCTCTTTATTGTGTCATTATTGATAAGAAAAAAAGCTAAACATTTAATTTGTTGGGGCCTATTTTTATCCACAGATTTTGTGTTTCAGTGAGTTTTTAAAGCACAGTTTATGTGGGATTTACTCAAAATAAACATACATAGGTGAAAATACCTTGACCTGGCTCACTGAGAATCTGCACACACGTGGCTCACTGAATTGTTTTTAATAGTGAAGCTATATCCATCTTTGTCTTACAAACAATACATGTTAGAATCATGAGCTCTGGGCTTCTCATGGGATTTTTGACCAAGAAATATACAACAACTGCTGACATTATCTACCACTGTCTTTTGAAATGTCAGGAAACTGAGAAAATCATTGCTGAACTCAATGTAACTTGGGAAGAGAAACTTCGCCGAACAGAGGCCATCAGAATGGAAAGGTTAGTATTACATTATTCCATTTTTAATTCTCTATTTTAATAGCAAAATCACTGTGGATAATTAGTATTCTCTGGAAAAACAGTCAACAGGAAAATAATGATCTGGCATTGTAAAAAAAAGAGGACACGTCGAGTCTGTGTGTCAGATAACTTGAGAATCTTAAAGGAACTATAATAGAATACAATTGTCAAAAAAAAATTTTTTCTGAAGTATAAAACATTTATCCTTCATCCACAGAGAAGCCTTGTTGGCAGAAATGGGTGTGGCAATGCGAGAAGATGGCGGAACAGTTGGTGTGTTCTCCCCTAAGAAGGTACGGGTCACCTCCAAAACCTCTCTCGGATCTTTTTATTACTATTTAAGTCATTGACCAAAATCATTGTTTATTTACCCCAAAGCCGTCCAATAGCCCTAGAATGCCCCAGGCTGTATTTATCGACACAGTGGGGCTGTTTTCCCCAAACGAGGTTTGTAGCTGTGATGTGTTCAAAGCTTCTTCTCTGAGTGCTCTTACTTCAACAAGAGCCCCGCCAAGACAGATGAGACAAGGGCTTCTCCTTTTCATTAAGCATTAAATCTACTTCATTTCTCACTTCAAACACTCCCTAACTGCACTGAAGGCAGCAATGGGTGTAAAAGTGGGGGAAAAGATAATGGCAGTGCCTCCATTTCGGTGATTTATGGCTGTTTGCCTTCAGCCCCATAACATCTGGCTGAGACTCCATTAAATACCCATGCTGTGAAGCTGTAGGGAGTGACTCTGACTGCATGGTTTTAACTGATACTGATTGTTTCTTACTGGGAGAGATTGCTTTTCTGCCCTCTTTGTGCACAGTGTACATATGTTACACTGTAAATAACATACAGATTATAAATTATTTACATACTGAATGTTATTTACCATTTCTACAGTGAGTAAATGATTGCTTGTTCTGTGTCAGACGCCTCATTTGGTGAACCTCAATGAGGATCCTCTGATGTCTGAGTGTCTGCTGTACTACATTAAAGACGGGATCACCAGGTTGGTATCTTACTGTGTATTATTAAGGTAACTAGGGCAGTGCCTGCTCTAAACCTGCCTGTGTGAAGTGTTCTATTCTCTTGACCTGTGTTAATGCTCTGAAGCTACTTCAGAATTATTGCAGTTGGACCCAGTTGCAGACCCTCTCTGTCGTTTATTTGAGAACGTAAAAGAAGACATGTTCAACTCAGTCCAAAGACTGTAAGGATGCTGCCTAGCCCCCACTGACTGCTAGTCTATTGGTCACTTGTTATTCAATTTGTATTGATATTGAACATTTTGTGTGTTCAAATTGCACTAAACTTGGCACTCTCAGGCAATTTACAATACACATGCCAAGTGCAAAGCTGATAGGATGAATGGTTCCACATACAGACAGACAATTGTTCATGGAATTAGTAGGTTGATTCCCTAAATAACCTTAAAAGTAATTTTCAAAGAGGAATAATTAAAATGCAAAGAGTATTCAGTTAAAGAGCATAAATTACTTGGTCTAATATCGTCACCTTTGTCTTTTTAGGGTTGGGCGTTTAGACGCCAGCAGTCGTCAGGATATCGTCCTCAGTGGCCACTTCATCAAGGATGAGCACTGCACTTTCACCAGTTCTGCTGGTCCAACGGGAGAAAGTGAGGGATCTTTGTCTCACTCCACAGCATTTAAGTTGTGTACATGAGAGATTAATACTGACAGACAGGAAGCCTCACATTCTCCTCCCTGTTCCTAAGCAGTGGTTGTCCTCGAGCCCTGTGAAGGAGCTGAGACTTATGTCAACGGAAAGAGAGTGACCGAGCCCACTGTCCTCATATCAGGTCGGTATGCTTCCCTCAGTTTGACCATGCCTGCTGCACTGTACTCAGTCCTATTTGTAGTGCACTATTCATGTTTTAATTTCTGATATATTATTCACTCACAGGAAATCGCATCATCCTTGGGAAGAGCCATGTGTTCCGGTTCAACCACCCAGTGCAGGCTCGGGCTGAGAGGGAGAGGACCCCTTGTGCTGAAACGCCTGCTGAGCCCGTGGACTGGGCCTTTGCCCAGAGGGAGCTGCTGGACAAACAGGGCATTGACATGAAACAGGAGATGGAACAAAGGTACTTTGGGAGAAATAACAGCTGTGTAGGTAGAAAGTAGGGTCTCTCCACCATCTTGTAGACAGGAGCAAGAGATTTCAGCAGGTAAGATAGAAGATAAAGAAGTGTAATACTATGGTAAATAGAAGTCTTAATAGCAACCACATGACACATCATCTTTCTCAAGCCTCATTAGTGTTTATGTGTGCAGGCTGCAGGAGTTGGAGGATCAGTATCGCAAGGAAAGAGAGGAGGCCAACAACCTTCTGGAACAGCAAAGACTGGTACAGTGAATGAGAAGCTTTGCCACAGAGTATATACACTGGCGTGCTGTTGGCATGAATCAATGAATCTACAAGAAAATAGATCAGAATCATGATAGTTACAGAAGAACTGAGTTATGTTATATAATATCAAATGATTATAAAAACTGGATATTTTTCCATCTTTACGTACGATAGATGAATATTTTGTGTTTACATATTCACTGTTTAGGATTATGAGAGCAAGTTGGAAGCTCTTCAGAAGCAAGTGGACCGTTATTACCCAGAGGCTACTGAAGAGGAGGAGGAGCTAGAGGAAGAAGGTATTGGAAATAATCAGACTCACACACCTGTGCGTGTCAACGTTATTGGTAAGAAAATCCTCATGAAATGATGATCTCGTACTCTTGTGGCTCACAGTGCAATGGACGGAGAGGGAGAGAGAGAGAGCTGTGTGGAGCTTTCGTAAGTGGAGGTGCTACCAGTTCACCTCTCTGCGTGACCTGTTATGGGGAAATGCTATCTTCCTTAAGGAGGCCAACGCCATCAGTGTGGAACTCAAGAAGAAGGTCCAACATGTTTCTGTGATTTATTCTCCATTGTATGACTTGATGCTATTATAGGACTACTAGATACTCTGTGTGTCTCTTCAGGTCCAGTTCCAGTTTGTGCTGTTGACTGACACTCTCTACTCCCCCCTGCCTCCTGACCTGTTGCCCCCAGAGGCAACTAAAGTAAGAGATAAGCGACACTTCCCGCGCACCATTGTGGCTGTGGAGGTGCAGGATCAAAAGAATGGAGCCACCCACTATTGGACATTAGAAAAACTAAGGTGCAGTGGCTATGATTCAGGTTCACCAGATATCATTTTTTAGTCTTTCAATAAATATCTAAAAATATGTTTTTATGGGAAAACATAATAAAGTGTACAGAAAGTGAAGGCATCTGAAAACTCCCACTGTACATAAATGTACTAATTTCTGAGGCTGATATATTTGTATTATTCTTGTGACCAGATAATTCTACCTTTTACCTGCGCAATACCTTGTGTCAGGTTATTTCTCTAGAGAAACATTGTTTTTATACGGAAATAAAAAGGGCTGCATGCTTCTACTGCAGTAACATAAGGAGAGATGTTTTAGCATCTATTAGGAATAAACACATTAACTACACTCTTCACTGCAAGAGCATTTCTCATTAACGCCATGCTGATGAGGACACACGTGTTAATAACTTCCTTGTGTTAATTGCTGTTGATCCTCGCAGGCAGAGGCTTGATCTCATGAGAGAGATGTACGACCGTGCTGCTGATGTGCCCAACAACACCATTGAGGACTCTGAAAACGTGATGACTGGAGGCGACCCCTTTTATGACCGCTTCCCCTGGTTCCGTCTGGTCGGCAGGTAAATTATGAACACCACTGGCCTCGCACAGTGTATGAATAGGACAGGCTGCCATTCATTTACACAGAGCTCAAATAAAGCACAAAGGACGACAGCAGTGAGAAAACAGAAGCCCAGTGTTTGTCATACTTGACTACTCAAAATACTGGCAGCTGTTGGCAGTAACTTCCTCAAATGGTGCGTGTGGTCAACTGTTGAATCATAATGATGGAGAGAACAACAACATTATCACACATCTCATCACATTTCAACTGATTAAACAGCATTTCAAATGCGATAAATGAATGTACTGTATCTTTTCATTACCATAGTAATTTTTGAATTCTGAGTGTTTTTCAAGTGAATCAAACTTCTTCCTCATTTTTTCTAATGTCACTTTGGATCTACTGTATTTCTACTGGACGGATCACACAGGATGGATTGACAATCAGTGCTTGTAAATGGGAAAAATCAGCTGTGAAATGTTGGAGAACATAATTTCCTTGGTTCTCCTACCCAGAGGCTGCAGTTTCATTCTTTCCCACTTTGTCATGCTTCCTCCCACCTCTCTGCCTAGCTCACTCTATCTCTCTCACACTCTCTCTTGCAGATGGGTCCCACATATAGTCACATGCTCCTGTTACATAATATTCACTATTTCAAGCCTTTAATGTCATTAAGCTCCTGCAAAACAAGCAAAAATGATCAGGCAGCAATATGAAAAATGCCCCCCCTTTGTCAGGTCTTTCATAATAAGTGAGTAATAGTGGTATATCTGTAGCTAAATGCAACACATCCAAAGAAATGTATTTGTACAGAGGTATTAAAGGTACGGTGTTTAGAATTTGGTGATATCTAGTGGTGGAGTTTCATGTTGCAGCTGAACACTCCTCACCTCACCCTCTCCTTCCAAACATGAAAAAGAACCTGTGGAAACCTTTAATTGTCATAAAAACTCAAAAGGTGTTTAGTTTGTCCAGTCTGGACTAATGTAAAAAACATGGCGGCCTCCGTAGAGAGGACCCTTCCACATGTGGTCATTCATCAGGCTCATGGTCGTGCACAGTGATCTATATGCTTGCTTGTTTTGCACTCTTCAGTTTGTACTCTAAAACACAGCATAAACAGATTTTGGTTCAAAATGATGAGGGTTTCCTGCAGTGGGTCGTTTCATTCACTGCTCTACCACCCTTCTTGTTTGAACAAGTGTGTGCTCTCTTTCTAACTGTACTAACCTAGTTCCCATGTCTCTGGCCGCACCAGAAACCCTATTTTCAACACGTGCATGAGCAAGCGCATGAGTGACCCCACCCCATCCCCGACCCTCTCCACCTCTGAAATTACTGAGATGGCTGACTCGCAGCGGGAGGGTCGAGGGGAGGAGGAGTTGGAGGAGTTGGAGGACCTGGACGATGATATCTTTTTGGACGACCCATGCTTGGAGCTTGGGGGAGAGGATGATGATGATGATGATGATGATGATGGTGATGATGATGATGATGATGATGATGGTGGTGATGATGGTGATGATGATGATGGTGATGATGATGCTGATGATGGTAGTGATGATGATGATGATGATGATGATGATGGTGATGATGATGATGATGATGATGATGATGAGGGAGAGCTCTGCCGAGGCTCCAGCGAAGGCCAGGATCCCTTTTACGACCGCTCACCATTATTCAGTGTAGTGGGAAGGTTGGTGAGGTTTCAGGAGCATGCTGGTGGAGGAAACTAGCTCTTTCACGCTGAGACGCAGGGTCTGTTTCAGCACAACCCAATATACAATACAGATACAGTACAGCTGTATGTTTTCACAAAGTCCTCACTCTGTTCTGGATTCTGTGTGTATGATTACAAAAAATCTGAATCAGAGTTTCTTCAGCACATGTTTTTTTTCTTGGGTGTCAAACACACATCTTCTGTCTAAATTAAAAGGGAATTTTGATTATTTTTCAAGCTGGGCCCTATGTTTATAAATGTGGGTGTGCAAATGAATGGCACTTACAGAACTTTTGGATTCTTCATCTTCATCTTCACCAGCAGCCACGACATGGTGGCAGTGGCTACGAGTTAATCTTATGAGGCAACAGCGACAGTCCATGAAATCTTAAATCTAAAAGTGCTTTTTCAGCAATAAAAGGCTAAAATAATAATAATGGAATAATAATTCCAGCCATTTAATTGTTGAAAGAAAGAGCTTTTAGTGGACATTTCATGGACTGACGCAGTTGCCCCATACAGTTGTACATTGTAACCACTGCTTCCGGGACATGGCTGCAGACTGAGACAATCCACTGGACAGATTCCAAAAGTATTTGTAAGTACCATTCATTTTGTAAAGTTTCCATTCAATTAATCTTAAAAACTTGATGCTTGCTTAGGAGACACTTATCTCCTGCTGTCTCTCAGTTATCATCGCCACTGTGTCTCAGATATTTGACACACAAATGTTCTCAAATGTTAAACTACTATTTACATATTTTTTATAACCATGTTACTGAGTGGACACCGGAGTAGACATTTCTGGGCTTCAAGGCTTATCTTTTGCTTTCTTTGTTTAACCTCAAATCAGATGCTTGTTTATGTTTATTTTTATGCTGTTTTTATTTTACACACAAACTCAAGATTAAATGCTTTTCACTCATATCACATTTCTACTCAGCCAGGGCTGGGTCAGTACATATCACTTGTTTCCATTGAAGGTCAAGCAATGTTGACGCTCAACGACTGCTTGAGGTGTGTGTCTCACGATGGTGTGTTTAAATGTGTTTAAAGTTGTGGCTTTTCAAAGAGGACTCAAAGTAGCCCTGACATGTCTCATGGAGTATACCAAGGTCTGATTTGCATTAACACAGGACCCCGTAGTGAAATGTTCCCACCATGCTGTGAAACCTGAATAAGCATGAAAGAGACAGAAATTTATTCACATAAAATAGCTAAGTGCAGTTCAAGAAAGACTCAAAATCTCAAGATGAAAGAGCTGGTTTCTGCTGCAGCTGTCTCTTTTAGGCATGCCAGAGCACAAGTCTTTTCATTTTGACCTTTTTTTTGTGTCAATTTTTCTACTTGAATACGTCTGATGATGACCTAGTGCCTCTATTTTGCACAAATTAGCACTGGGCGAGGTGCTCTTTGATTTCTGATGTCATCCATTGTTTTTTTTTGTGTAGCATACAATATATCAAGCTGTTTGCAGTTTTTATTCAAGCTGAGCCATTTTCGGTATGATGATTTCTGTTCCATTTGCTTTTGATTCCTTTGAGTCTAGAGGTTGAAAGCATTTTTGTTCACCTTTTTTGTCCTGAGCATGCCTTATTTGCACCTCACCAATCTTGTCATAAGCCTGTCCCTTTTTTACACTCCACCCTTAAATGTCTACCCCTTTTTCGCTCGTGGGAAATGTGGTCTTTGACTGCAAGGTCATGCATTGTAGCTAAAATCTAGAGGATAAATCTAGAAAGAGAAACATTTGTGAATTACAATTCCCAAGCAAAATGTAGCCTTTGTCACTACTAACCTCATTCAAATCTAATCCTTATCAAAATCTAAATCCAAAGTGCCTATAGTGCTTATGTTTGGCTCGAAACATTTATGATTTTGTGTAGTATTTTCATATAGAGGCACATTCAAGCAGTACATGTTAGTGCAGGAGAGTAGAAGCATTAAGCGAGGATCATTATTTCAGGTCGAGGAAAACATCTGCAGCTCCCCAGCTTAGTATAGTTTCCAATGTTTTTAATTAATTGAAAATAATTGCTACTACTTACTTGCTCCTTAGCCTCACCAAGCTTTATAGTACAACATTTAAGAAATACTGCATGTGACACATAATACTGTCATTATTTGTAGACGGTGAGGTAAATCCCTAACAAGCGATAGTAAAGGGCACCCATGGCCATCGCAAGAGCAGTCCCAGCTTCTGTTTGGTTGCTTTGCAGCTCTGTGTTCTGTTGTCCAGTCCAGTGAACGTTATCAAGTGTAAATCATCTCCTGAAGCCTGTTTTTAATATTTTTTTTTTTCTCTCTCTCTCTTTCTTATGCCAATCCAGGGCGTTTGTCTATCTGAGTAACCTGCTGTACCCAGTTCCACTCGTGCACCGCGTGGCCATCGTGAGTGAGAAGGGAGAGGTAAAGGGCTTCCTCCGGGTGGCAGTGCAGGCCATATCAGGTAAGGCTTGGATCCTCAGCCACACCCTTGTTGAGACAAAGGACAGACTGCATGTGACTTCTTGAGGGAGTGAAGTGAAGGTGCTTTGTGTTTCCCTCCAGCGGATGAGGAAGCTCCTGACTACGGCTCAGGAGTGAGGCAGTCAGGCACTGCTAAAATCTCATTCGAGGATCAGCAATATGAAAAGGTAGGGATAGAATTTTATATGGAAGTTGTTTGGGTACATTTTACCAACTAACCAGTCTTTTGAAACTTGCTTTTGCAGTTCCAGTCAGAATCATGTTCTGTTGGACTGTCCCGTACGGGAATTTCACAGGAGGAGCTCCGTATTGTGGAGGGTGAGGGACAGAACGCAGAAATGGTACCTTCAGCTGATGAGGTCAACAATAACACATGTGAGGGTAATCATATTTTATGAGTGAATGGAAGTTTGTGTGTGTGTGTGTGTGTGTGT